TCTTCCTCCTCCTCCTCCTCCTCCTCCTCCTCCTCCTCCTCCCTCCTCCTCCTCCCCGAGTGGGCCCCTCGAGCTTTTTCGAGCTCGGGCCCGGGGGCCCGCACGGGTCGATCCGGCTCGAAGAGTGCCGCAGGAGGACAAGGGTCCAGAGTCTGGTGCTCCTGTCGTGACTCTTGTCTTTTCCAGCGCTATTTTGGAGAGGGGGAGGAAGAGGCGAGAGGGAGACAACGCACACGCCCACTTGCTGTCCATCTCGCATATTCTGCCGGGGAGTCGATAGGCAATCCTGCCCAGGAGCTCCTGTCGTGACGTGCCGCGATGCCTCCGTTTGTTCGCAGCGTCGGATCTCGGGTGGCGAGGTTCGATGGACTTGGCCAAGGGCTCCAGCGCCAACTTGCTGCAAGCTTCCTGGGAAGAGGGAACGAGCGCTGCTGTGCTCCGATAGCAGGCTGAAGCCCAAACCCCTTGCAAGGCCAAGAACCACGTCCAAGATCGGGTGCTGCCCAAAAGCTTTCTCCGAAGCAAACTAGAAGATACCCATGCCTGGCCCGGACGCTTGAAATAGGCCGTTGCTGGCATGGGAGATGTACTGCACCCTGTGATCCGACCAGACCCACCCGATGGTGCTCTGGAGACGCCGCAGCGGATGAATGTAGCTCGGGCAATGAATACCAAGCGGGACAACAAGAAGGCCAAGATACCCGAAAAATCTGGCAACGGGATCCACCTGTGAAGGGATGGCACGCCACATCAAAGGAACGTGGACAACAGCCAGGCAATTCAAACTTTCAGTCCAGAGGCCTCCCAAATAGGGTCTGAGCACATGGGATCGGAGGATCGCGCCGAATCGCCGATGCTTCACCGATGCATCGGCGATGCATCGGCGTTGCATCGGCGACGTCCGCGTGGCAGAAATCGCGAGGCGCGACGAAACTGATCAGTCAAAAGCCTCGACAACCTCGCCCGTAACGTTGCCCCTGAGAGACACCAAATCTCGGCGCGAGCGAGGGGAGAAGTGAGAGGGAGAAGGCCTTCCCAGAAGGCGGCGGGTCTTCTCAGAAGCCCTCGCGCCTCCTGAGAAATTGCCAGCGTCTTCGGGGAAGGCTTCTAGGAAACTTCTTGAAGGCCCGGGGGGCTTCCGAGCCTTCTGACAAGGCCCGGCCCTTCTCGCCTTCCCCCCCGGGCCCGCGGCCGACTGTCCCTGAGCCATACCGGCGATGCATCGGCGATGCACTGGCGACGTCGGCGGTGCATCGGCGACTTCGGCGTGGGGAAACTCGGGCCCCACGTCGAGCCACGCGCCCATGCATCCGCCTCCTCCTCCTCCTCCTCCTCCTCCTCCTCCTCCTCCCACTCCGAGGATGGTTCCGTACGCCTACGAGCCTTGTACGCATTCTTCGCGGAGTCGACGAGGACATCGACTTTGGGGCAAACCAAACTCAGATTATCCTGCTCGAGGGGGCCTCCCGAGGCCTCTGGGGGGAGGCCGGCCCTGCCTCCCCGCTAGGCCGGCCCTGCCCTCAGGGATTTAGGGTGAGGGGTCAGGGATGAGGGTGGGGGCTCGGTTTAGGGCGAGGGATAGGGTTTAAGGTTAGGGTTTGGGCTCAAGACTTGGAATTAGTACCCAGGTTTTGCGTTAGGGTTAGGGATTAGGGGATCGACGACAGACTTGATGTACCCCAAGCTGGACTTTCGCGTCGAATCTACGATAAATATGAAGACGGTTCCGTACACCCACGAGCTTCGTACGCATTATTCGTAGAGTCGACGGGAAAATCGATGTTCGGCGGTGGACAAACCTCCCTTTGGTAAACCTCCCTTCAGCGAAAACGGCCTAGGGCCGAAACCGACGGACCCTGGACCCACGCAAATGACGGCCGCGACGCCCTCTCGCGAACCGAAAACGGCCAATTCGCTGATCGACGTGTCAGGGTAGGAGGTCTATCACCCTCCGAGATTCTGGGGCAAATGAACTCTGGTCCCCCCCTACTCGAATGAGTATCGTTCAACCGATGCCCATCCCCGGCGGCGTGGCCTGGGCCCCACATGCCGATTTGCCCCCCTGGATGGGGATGCAGGTCGCTCCCTTCGGGCTTCGAGGGGTGCACCCCCAGCTGGGGGGTAATTTGGTGAGGGTCTCGGAGGGGATGGGGATGAGGATGGGGATTGGTTAAACGATAACGAGCCATCCAACACCCCCCCCTCCTCCTTCTCCTCCTCCTCCTCCTCCTCCTCCTCCCTCCCCCTCCTCCTCCTCCTCCTCCTTCCTCCTCCTCCTCCTCCTCCTCCACCTCCTCCTTCCTCCTCCTCCTCCTTCTCGTCCTTCTCCTCCTCCTCCTTCTCGTCCTCCCCTCCTCCTTCTCGTCTTCCTCCTCCTCTCCTCCTCCTCCTCCTCCTCCTCCTCCTCCTCCTCCTCCTCTTCCTCCTAGTCCTCCTCCTCCTCCTCTTCTTCCTCCTCCTCCTCCTCCTCGTCCGTATCCTCCTCCTCCTCCTCTCTCGTCCTCTTCCTGGCCGCGCCAGGTGGCCTAGCAGCGTTGCCAGCCGAGCCCTTTCGGACCTTGGCTCCCGACGGGGGAGACACAGAGATCCGACGCTCCAGAAGAACTGGAGCGGCGGATGCTGGGCCGTGTTCGGCATCCTGGGACCCTCGCCGGACCTCGAGGCCGGCAAAAGACGACTCTGGACGAGAAGCCGGCCATGTAGGGAAGTGGTCTGGACCTCTGGGGCCCACGCGTCGAAGAGATGTGAGCGCCCGCAAATCCGGGGGGGCAGGCCACCGGTGCCTCTCGGCCCTCCCGAGCTGGGCGCGGCGGCCCCACGGTGGGGCTGCAGGGCGCCGTTTTGCTGTCCATTCGCAATCGCCTGAATGGTTCGCTCGCGGAGCCTTCTTGAAAGGCAGGCCGGCGGTCCCCGCTGAAAGCGAGCATCTTGCTACACAAGCAGGTCGGCATCAGCCCGGCCTACCGCGCTCCAGGCCCAGCCGTCCGCAGAAGGAAAGAAAGCGGCATGCGCACAGTATAGGAATCTGCACGGACTGCTCAAGTCGGCGCTGGGCCCCCCCTTCGAGTAGGGGATCGGCCACGGAATGGATTGACCCAAGGATCGGCTTTCTCTTCGAATCTACGAAAAAGAAAGCGTCGAAGGTTCGTAGATCTACGGAACAATCTTCGCATTCATCGTAGATTCGACTGGAAGATTAATTTTGGGGCACATCAATTCTGTAGTCGATCTCCTACTCGACCCCTCCCTGGCGCACGGAGCGCGCCATGGGCGGCGCCAGAGGCGCCGCCGGGGGGTGCCCGGCGCGGATCCAAGAGATCCGCGCGGGGCGCCAAAAGTTTTTGCTTATGCCGTGTTTTCTTATTCGATCCTCTCTGGGTTCGTAGATTTACGTAAATTCACGGAACGATCTTCGTCTTCATCGTGGATTCGACTGGAAAATCAATTTGGGGTCACGACAGTTCTGTAGTCGATCCCCTGCTCGACCCCTCCCCGGCGTGCGGAGCGCGCCAGGGGCGGCGCCGGAGGCGCCGCCAGCGGTGCTCGGGCGCCGACCCGAGAAAGCCGCCCGGACCTCCCCAGAGATCAGACGATGCGAAAAAACCGCAAAGTCGCGAGAGAACACGACTGAGGCCCTGCAGGGCAGTTCTTCATACATTGGATGTTGAAAAATACAGGATGCTTAATACATGATCCAATTATGAATAAAATTATGCCTGAACTCATCGTTGTTTTTAATGCTAACTCCCTGCATTTTAATACATGATCCGCACGCGGAGAATGTACTAAAAACGGCACTGTACAATAAGAGCTCGACCACAAGCAACCTTCCACAGGAAACCCAACCCGGAGACCCCAGGACGCCTGGATTTTAGGTGTGGGAACGTCACGCTGTCCATGGCGAAATCATCCAAACCCAAGAAACCCAGGGCACCCTGGAGGCAAGCAAGGTGTTTCTTGCCATGGGCTTCCACTGTAGACAACATCTTTCTGCCGCGACTCTCGAGCCGGATCGGGCGTCGCGAGTGCCCTGGGGCCCAAAATACCAGACGAAGGCGCCCAGCGCGGGAAAGCCAAGCTGCAATGCCCGGATCTCGGGGTCCCCTGAGATCCGACGCTGCAAAAAAATGCAACGTCGCAAAAAATCACGACCGGGGCCCCAGACCCCATCTTTCTGCGTCATTTTCCGGACCAGATCGATCGATCTGCGAGAGTCCCGGGGCCCGAAGTGGAGGGAAACCACCCATTAATCGTTGTGAAAAGATTGTAGCGCCAGCATCTCGGGGTCCGAAAGTACACGGCCATGCCGCTTCTTCTCCTTCGGGTCCAGTCCTCGGCGCCCTCCGCGCGCGCGTCCTCGAGGCGGTCGAGGCGCCGCGCCAGGGCCCGCTGCTGCTCCTGGTGGGCTCTTTTCCTTCCCACCGCCGCCACCATGCTTGGAGGGGGAGAGGGTCCTCCTCCTCTCCTCCTCCTCCTCCTCCTCCTCCTCCTCCTCCTCCTCCTCCTCCTCCTCCTCCTCCTCCTCCTCCTCCTCCTCCTCCTCCTCCTCCTCACTCCTCCTACACCTCCTCCTCCTCCTCCTCCTCCTCCTCCTCCTCCCTCCTCCTCCTCCTCCTCCTCCTCCTCCTCCTCCTCCTCCTCCTCTTTCTCCTCCTCCTCCTCCTCCTCCTCCTCCTCCTCCTCCAACTTCTGGCTGTGGCAGGGGGAACCAGGCCCACCGGCTCCTGCAGGCGGCCCTGCCGCCCCGACAGCTCGGACAGCTCCCGCTTGGCGGCCTGCAGCTCGGCGAGCTGCTCCCCCTGGCCGCGGGCCTGCTCCTCCCGCAGCCGCTCCTCTATAGAAGAACGGGGGGAAAGGAAGAAACAAAACAAAAAACAACAACAAAAACAGAAAACATAAATATATATATATATATACACACATATATATAAGAAAAACAAAACCAAAAACTGCACAAACATAATGTTGGCGCTCCGCGCGGAGTTCTTGGATCTGCGCGAGATCCCCTTCGAGTAGGGGATCGGCCACGGAATGGATTTACCCAAGGATCGGTTTTCTCGTCGAATCTACGAAACAAAAAGCGTCGAAGGTTCGTAGATCTACGGAACAATCTTCGTATTCATCGTAGATTCGACTGGAAGATCAAATTTGGGGCACATCAATTCTGTAGTCGATCTCCTACTCGACCCCTCCCTGGCGCACGGAGCGCGCCAGGGGCGGCGCCAGAGGCGCCGCCAGGGGGGGCCCGGCGAGGCTCCAAGAGATCCGCGCGGAGCGCCAAAAGTTTTTGTTTATGCTGTTGTGTCTTCTTCTGTCCTGTCTGGGAGGGCGACGGCATTCCCAGACCCCCTCGGGTCATGGAAAAATCACGACGGGGGGGGGGTCGCCATTTTCGGCCCCTGGGGGGGGGTCCTCGCTGGGACTCGGGGCCGTCGGAAAAACGAGTCAGGACGAGAAACCCGTCCTAGGGAAGGGGTCGAGAACTTTGGGGGTCGACGTTACGAAAAAATCTTGGACGATTTTTTCACCGCTGGCATTTTGCCTCAACTTCAGGCCCTGGGACCCTCGCAGATCGATCTGGCTCAAAAAATGAAGCAGAAAGATGGGGTCTGGGGCTCTGGTCGTGATTTTTTGCAGTGTTGCAATTTTGTTGGCAACGCCGGATCTCAGGGTTCGGGGCCGCGCACAGGGGGGAGTGGAAGTTTCCTATGAGCCTTCCCCGAAGACGCCGACAACTTCTGAGGAGGCGCAAGGGCTTCTGAGGAGTCCCGCCGCCTTCTGAGAGGGCCTTCTCTTCTCGTCTCCCCCTCCTCGCTCGCCGCCGAGGCATGGGCAGAAACTCTCGGAACTCCAAAAGTTCATGCGTGTGCCGGATTCTCGTTGGCATGAGAACCCCTGAGGTCTGGGCGCCGCCTTCTTCTCGCACCAGGCGCTGTCGCCCAGGCTCGGACCCCAGGGCCATCACAGATCGATCCGGCCCATCAAATGCTGCAGCAGAAAGATGGGGTCCGGGGCCCTGGTCGTGATCTTTCGCGGCGCGGCGTTCTTGTTCGCAGCGCTGGCTCTCCAGTGCAGACGGGTCCTGAGGGGCACGGCTCCTGGACCCCGGGGCCTTCCCCAGGACCAGCTCCTCCAATCCCTGGGGCAATTCTTCGACCAGCCCTGGGGCCTGAGAGGGCCCCGCAGGCCCGCAACCACGGCACAGGATCGGGACCAGCCTCCCTCAGGACCCGCTTGCCTCATGGCCAGCGGGGGGGGAGGCAAGAAAGCCGTGCATCCATGAAAAACGCGTGGACAAACAACGCAAGATAAAACGCAACGAAAAAGGTGCCGGAGCCGGCGCCAGTAGGAGGGGGAAGAGAGTGGAGGAAAAAAGGGAGTGCAATAAATGCTTCAGATACCCACATGATCGAGATTGTATACGGACTTCGCCCGCTGCCGCCTGGGTCTCCCCCTGCGCCAGCGGGAGGGAGGAGGACAAACAAAGTACCAACACCGCTGCTCCGCAGGCCTCTCCGGAGGCGCGTACTGACCAGGATCTTGGGGCGAATCCAGCCGTGGCGGCGAGGCAGGGCAGCGGCATCGGCCAGAGTGAGCGGCTGCTGCATGGTCTCCCTTCGTCCCTGGGCGCGCGCTGGAACGGACCACACGAGGGGGCCACATGGGGGTCCATACGGGGGGGGCCATGAATGGAGAAATCGCACGGGGCGACCATACAAGGAGGCCATACGAGGGGCCCATACGGGGGGACCACACGGGGGAACCACTTGCGGGGGCCACACGGGGGCGGCACTCGAAGGGGTCCATACGGGGGACCATGCCAGGGGAAACACACAGAGGGACTCTGCGGCGGGCTTCATCTGCCTTCGAGCCTCGCAGGCCACCAGCGACCTCCCTCGTGCCATCCCCAGACATCTGGACCGCTCCAATTTTTTCGATGCGTGGGCCCAGGAGCTGCGAACCACTTCCCTAGGGCCAACTTTTCATCCTGAATCGTTTCTTGACGCAAGTCCTGGAGAAGGCACCGGAGGCCGAAAGCGGCCCCAAACCCGCCGCTCCGATTGTTGCTGGAGCTCGGATCTCTGAGCTGCGGGGCTGGCGTTTCATCCTAGATCGACTCTGGTATGGTCCTGGGACTGGACGAGGGCCCCCCGGAGGCCGAAGATGACCCGAAACGCCTCCCGTCGCGGTTTTGCCACAGCAAAAGGGAGGCAGGGGCCGACTGCTCTCCGCCAACTGCGGGGTTTGAAGGCAGGGTGCACGCGGCGTCGGCGCGCAAAGGCTTTTAACACCGCGTCGATCGTTCAACCTCTAGCAGATCGCGGCCCCGATCGTTCAAGGTTGAATTCGGCCGGGTCCAGCGACGTTACCGCGTCCCTCGGTGCCTCCGCGGCGAGGAGTTCAACCCTGAACGCCTCTGCCGCCGCCGCCGCCGCTCCATCCCGCACGAACCTGCCATACATCTTGAACCCCAGAGATCCGATGTCGTGATTTTTTCAATACGCGGTCTCTGGAAGTCTCGACCCATTCCCCAGGACTGGTTTTTCATCCTGAGTCGTTTTTTGACGGTCCCGAGGCCCGGCAAGCCCCCAGGGGCCGAAATTTGCGAAAATCCTCCGTCTTGATTTGTTTAATACGTTGGCTCTCTGGGACTAACATGCTGGCACGGCGGTCCTCCATCGCCTCCAGGCGCTTGGTGAGCGCCTGCGGGCGGCTCGTCGGGACCGAGTGCTCGCCTGGAGGGACGGGAGGAGGAGGATGAGGAGGAGGAGGCGAAGGAGGAGGAGGAGGAGGAGGAGGAGGAGGGAGGAGGAGGAGGAGGAAAAGAGGAGGACGAGGGAGGAGGAGGCAGAGGAGGCGGAGGAAACGAAGGAGGAGGGAGGAGGGAGGCAGGAGGAGGGGAAGGAGGAGGAGGAGGAGGAGGAGGAGGAGGGAGGAGGAGGAGGATGAGGAGGAGGAGAGTAGGAGGAGGGAGGAGGAGTGAGGAGGAGGGAGGAGGGGGAGGAGGAGCATGGAAGGAGGGAGGAGGGAGGAGGGATGCGGGAGGAGTGAGGAGGGAGGGGGAGGGAGGGAGGAGGGAGGAGGAAGGGATGAGGAGGAGGAGGAGGAGGTAGAGGGGCGTATAGGGGTGGGGAGGAGGACCGGAGAGGTGGCCGACAGACCCCTTGCCACTCCCCGAAGACCCCTCTCCAGGGGGAGCGCGTCCTGCCCAGAGCAGGTCCCAGGAGGCTCCCGCCGTGGCGACGAGGGCCCCCTTCGCACACAGAGGGGCAGACTTTTTTATATCCGCCGATCCGGAGGAGGAGGAGGAGAAGGAGGAGGAGGAGGAGG